CAATACCAGAACGTGGCTCAGACCGTTACGACAAACTTTATAAAGTGCGGCCGTTATTGCAATTTTTATTAGAGAATTTTCAATCATGCTTACAACCACATGAACATCTTGCTGTAGATGAAGCTATGATTAAATTTAAAGGTCGCTCCTCCCTAAAACAATATTTACCCAAAAAGCCTATCAAAAGAGGTTACAAAGTATGGGTTCTTGCCGACAAAACCGGGTATTGTTGGAACTTTGAGATATATACTGGAAAGGTTGGAAATGAGACAGAGAAGAATTTAGGAGCCAGAGTTGTCAAAAGTTTGACTGCCCAGGTTATAAATAAAAATCATCGAATATATTTCGATAACTTTTTTTCATCAGTAAATCTTATGCAAGATCTTCTTGATTTAAAATTATTTGCTACTGCAACAGTAAATCCTAACCGGAAAGATTTGCCCAAATTTAGTCCTGACAAATCTTTAAAAAGAGGGCAATATGAGTGGCACACAAGTGATATTGGAGTGACCGCAGTAAAATGGCGCGATAAAAGAGCTGTCCACTTACTATCTAATTATCACAATCCTACAATAATTACAGAAGTCAGAAGGAAGGAAAAGGACGGCACTGTAGTTCAAATACCATGCCCTGCTTTACTTACCGACTATAATAAAAACATGAACTTCGTTGATAAGTTTGATCAAAAGAGAGGATCCTATGGGATTGACCGGAAAAGCCATAAATGGTGGCACCGAATATTTTTTTTCTTCTTGGATGCAGCTGTGGTGAATGCTTTTATTATATATCAACTCCATAATGACGGAATTTCTCCAAAACTAACTCTAAAAGATTTTCGAAGACAAATTTCTCAACATCTGGTAGCCAAATCACGTGTGCAAAAAATAACACAACCCATGGAGCTTTCCACAACGCTGAAAAAACATAAACCTTCAGTACCAGAAGCTGTAAGATTAACAGAAAGCTCACATCAACCGATGAGAACCAGCCGTCGGAGATGTGCCTTTTGTAGCACGAAGAAAAAAGACATCCGAACCAATTGGCAATGTAATGTTTGTAATGTTCCTCTATGCTTAGGGAAAACAAGAAGCTGTTTCCAGAGTTATCACAGAAAATAATTTCCATTCAAGCGGTATTCGAAACAAGTTTCTCCCGGTTCTTTTTTTTCAATTCACGGCGCTACCATTTATGTATTTTATTTTATGTATGGTGGTGGAAAAAATAAACCACCCTGTATTTTTTTTCTAAACAATTTTTTTTTTGATATTGAGTCAAATTTACGTTAAATGTAGTGCCCTCATTCCAAACATGTAATCATTTTTCAAAAGTTTAATAAAAATTTTTCTTGTACCTTTCTGGTTTTATTTTCAAGGCAATTCCTGTACCTGAAAGAGTTAACGGTATGTATTTTGGAATGTGTTTTTTTAGCCGAATTCAGGACTGTTGTTGATTGCAAAAAAATATTTTACGCTGCGACATGGATTTCTCTGAAAAAAAATTCTAATCATTTTTTCAATGTCGCTCAAAACAATATAAAAAACCGCCCTATGAGCTAAGAAAATCAGGTCCCTTCACTGCCTTATCCTAATATCTCATGTAGGTAGATAGCTAATTTTGAATCTACCAACACTCCCGGAGAGTATAAAGGATTCGTGCAGTATAGTTGAATAGAATGTTAACTCATCTGTTTACAGGAGAGTCTATTGTCAAGATAACCAATTGAACTTATACAGACTGTTAGCAAATGAATATATTTCAGCTGAGCAAGCCAGTAACAGGTGGACCATTTTGAGGGCGAGATATGTAAAAGAGCGGAAGAGAGCATTTTAATATGTTTCAGGCATGGCAGGTGGTACTGAGGCAGAATGGCCACTATACCAACTGATGGTTTTTTTTGGATCCGATGAATGTATAGGTATAGACTTTTCCACAAATACCCATTAAGGTACAATGACAGCTGATTATTTAATAAACATTTCAAAATTCCATATATCTGCAAATGACACAATGCTGACACATCTGTCAATTCTAGGTAAACAGAGCCTTTTGTTTTAAAAAACACTATATATGAATTGTGTTCATGCTACAAGTTTTTTATTTAGAAAAGTGAATTTACATAGATAAAACAAAATGATACAAACAAGTTTTACTAGATTTACAGACATGAACATGGGGGCAAAGTAAAATACAGTAGAACCTCGGTTATCCGAACCTCTATTATCCGGACCCTCTATTATCCGAACTCGTTTACACAGTTGTTTCTCGCTTTGAACGGACGCCGCCGACGTTGCATTATAAAAATGTAACACGTGCGTTCCCCTCCTAAGCAGCGTAGACGCGTTGGCGGCGGCGGAGGAGTGTAGAGGTTAGATCCATCGTACCGACACAGTGTGTCGGACACACATCGACAGTCGTCTTATGCTGGCTACACACGATCCGGCAGGCCTGTCAGTTCCAACTGAACAGTCCGCCTGAAGACCAGTCGCCTGAGCGTGTATACAGGGTTATCCAAATTAAGTGTCCACCATTAGTAACTTTGTTATTAGTGAAAATACAAAGTTGTTTGAATTAGCAAACTAGTAGCACTTTTAACGCTGGTAAAAATGAGAAATAAAAAAAAACAATTGAGAGTCGTTATTTTGATTTTTTTCAGTAAAATAACATTTTTTTAAATGGAAACCCCTGTATATTATATTTTTTTCTGTTAAAGCATCAAATTTTAAACAAAAAAGTTCATAATGACTTTTCCGCTAAAGTCAAAAATAAAGTCAAAATAACGATAAATATTTTTAATTATTTGCAGTATTATAATATTAAGACGGCTATGAAAACAACATGGCGTTCGCGATTTGACAGCATTAAGATAAGCGACAAATTGTTAAACTGGACATACTCGCAACTAGAAGGCTTTGGAAAACAATGATAAAATCAAATAATGTCAAACATTAGTGTAAATACTTGTTTATAAGCTTTATTGTGTCATTAATTTAAAGAAAAATGTTCTCCCATGAAGAAAAGTGTGATATGTTAGAATGCTATTTAGTGTGCAGAAAATCCTCCTTGAGAGCAAGAGAATACTACAGTGAATTATATCCCGCTCGCATTCAACCGTATGAACGATATTTTCTGAGACTTTATCGAAAATTTAGGGGCAACGAAAATGTTTTTGCTAAAACAAGGGCAAAAAAAGAATTCATAATAAGCGAGGCCACGGAAATTGCAGTTATTGGATATTTTGAAGCTTATCGTGAGAATTCAATAGCAGATATTCTCAAGGACTCTAATTTCAGTTATGGTACTGTTCAAAGGATTTTAAAAAAATACAAATTTATTCCGTATAAGTACCGACCAGTTCAAACGCTTTTGGCAGGGGATCCAGAGAGAAGACTTGTTTTTTGCCATTGGTATCTTAGCTTCTGTCGCCAAAATGTAAATAACTTTCGTTACCTTTTATGGACAGATGAATCAAATTTTTCAAATTCTGGAATGTTTAATAGAAAAAACCACCATTATTGGTCAAGAGAAAATCTTTTGTTAGTACATCCAAGAGGCCCACAAGTCCGTTTCAGTTTCAACGTTTGGTGCGGTATAATTGGTTCAAAAATTGTTGGCCCGTTCTTTTATGAGGGAACCCTAACTGGTGAAAGATATGTGGAATTTATGTCAGAAATTCTGACTAATTTCTTAGACGAATTGGATCTTATAAGTAGACATCATCTGCATTTTCAGCAAGATGGCGCACCTGCCCACAACTCCAGAGGTACTTATCATTTTCTAAGTACTACTTTTAATGATCAGTGGATAGGAACAAATGGCCCAATACAGTGGCCTCCCAGATCACCAGATCTAAACCCACTTGATTACTTCTTGTGGGGTTACTTAAAGAACCAAATTTACAAGCGAAGGTACGATAACCTTGACGCGTTAAAGACTGCAGTTAGGGAAAAGATAACCCAGATAGATGGTAGGACCATACTTAAGACAGTTCGAGCAGTTGGAAAACGTGCCCAAAAATGTATTGAAGAACAAGGTGGTGTTTTCGAGCATCTTCTTTAAAAAAAATTGTTATTGTATTTTGTAAGATTATAAGTTGATGTTGAAAATAAAGTTTGTCGATACAATTTAATTGTTTCAGATTGGAGGCCATAACTTCAACAATTTGTAACCTAGGAGAAAAGTTATTGTAAGCTTTTTTGTTTAAAATTTGATGCTTTAACAGAAAAAAATATAATATACAGGGGTTTCCATTTAAAAAAATGTTATTTTACTGAAAAAAATCAAAATAACGACTCAATTGTTTTTTTTTATTTCTCATTTTTACCAGCGTTAAAAATGCTACTAGTTTGCTAATTCAAACAACTTTGTATTTTCACTAATAACAAAGTTACTAATGGTGGACATTTAATTTGGATAACCCTGTATATTCCGGTCAACTTGTCAGTTAAGACTGTTCAGGCGGCCGGAGAAAAATCAAAAATATGTTCGTTTATCCGTCCGGCCTGACGTACTCAACGACAAGCCTGAACGTGTGTATGGCGCGGCCGCCTGTTGGGACATACGGCTGTCAGGCCAAACAGTTCAGTTTAATACAGAACCAGACTACAGAAGTCGTTACCACGTCGCGGGAAAGAGAAAACACGTGTTTAGAAGAATTTATCGGGATTTATCGCAATGAGTTGTGTCTATGGCAAGTAAAATCGAAAGACTATCACGACCGTGGCAAGACAAAATTAATAGAAAAATTGAAGGAAATTGATCCTTCTTGTACGAAGTCTACTGTTTTAAAAAAAATTAATAATTTCAGGTGTAGTTTTGGAAAGGAAGTAAAAAAAGTGAAGGATTCAATGAGGACGGGATCAGGGGCCGATGAAGTTTACCATCCCAAACTTTGGTATTATGATTTGTTGAAGTTTGTGGAAGACCAAGAAGTCTCCCAAAACTCTCGAAGCAATATCTCGGATGACGAAGAGAGCGAAAATGAGTGACAGAAACATTCAGTAGATAATTTGTTTGTTTATTTATTTAATAACCACACATTTTTCATAATGTAAATAAGTACCTATTTGTAGGTAATTTTTGTATTTTTAGGGTGGTCCAAATTGGTCAAAAAAAGTCATTGGCGCAAACAAAATTTTGCAATTTGTAATCGTTTTGTTGCCAAGGGACGTTCTTAAAATTTAGTCGATTTCTTTCAATAAGGGGTGTTCCCATAAGAGAGCGACCAATTTGGACCACCCTATACAATAGTATTATTAGTAGGTAAGTTTTTATTGGATGAATCTATCTTGCCAAGAAACTTTACCTTCATTCGTAAAATAACTCATAAAGGCCTCCCTAACTCCTTTTGCTCCATTTGCTGTATTTCCAAGTGGTCTTCGTTGCAAGCTAGACATATTAGAACCTTGTGAATTCAAGCCAAAATTTGTCACACCTTCTTCCGTATCATCATAGTCAAAGCACTCTGGAGGAGTATATGTTCTTAATGATTTAGCTATCAAAAGGTTATGTAACATGCAGCAAGCCATTACAACGAATTCAATATTTCGCGGTTCCAAATTAATGCAAGTGTGAAATATGCGAAATCTGGCAGCCAATATTCCTAATACATTTTCGACAATACGTCTTGCTCGTGATAAAGGGTAGTTGTAATTTTTTTTCTCCCTAGAAGTCAAGGCTGCCTGTCGAAAAGGTTTCATTAGGTCTAACCTCAATGGAAATGCATCATCTATAAATACATATGGTAGGCTTCTGTAAGTATTCCGTACGGTTTCTTCTACAGGAATTTTCAGGAGATTATTTTGTAGTTTTTTAAAAAAATTGGTATTTTGTAATACACCACTATCAGGCATTTGTTCCGAAATCGCACATTAAAATACGATAATTTGCATCAACTAAGGCTAATAGCACCATGCTATGAAAACCTTTATAATTATAATAGTACGATCCGCTTTCAGATGGGGAGACGATGCTCACATGCTTGCCCTCGATGGCCCCAAGGCAATGAGGAAAGTTCCAGAGTTCGTCAAAGCTCTGAGAAATGTTTCTCCAGTCTTGTTCTAGTCGTGGAAACTGAAAAAAAGATAATATGATGCATTATGTATGATAAAAATATGCATTAAAAATGTCTGGCGATATATGGCAAGAGAAATAAATTGTGTATTTTTTAATTTTTTTCATGCTTTGAATTTATGAAATACTATTAAGTAATACAGTGATAAAAACCATAGATATTTCCACACAAAAAAAACTAACAAAACTGTTCAAACAAATATTTTGTTACAGGATGAATCACAGGCCGAAACTTTAAGCACAGATGCACACAGCCCTCAAACTGAACCTGAAACCCACGATTCTACTGAAAAAACTTCAAGTGTGGCTTCAGGTTCGCAGTTTCGCCATAAACCGACACCAAAATCTCAAAAACCAGATGACCAAATACAGTTAACAAAAGAAGTACTAGCAACCGTCAATAACCACTTCAAACGGCCACGCACAGCGGATGACCGGTTTGATATTGTTGATAAAAACGTTTCTATGAAGCTCAGAGATTTAACCAACGACCAGAGACGCCTTGCAGAGAAATTTATTAATGACGTACTTTTTGAAGTTGAGGGTGGAACATTAACACCACATCATAAACTGACTTATCAGCCACCTTTGTCTAATCGTTGTCTAGTATTCATTCAGTACCTATTCTAGCCGGCCAAGCTTTCAACTCTCCGCAACACCAGCACCACCGCAGCAGTTGCTACTACTGAACTCCGAAGCTTCAATTGAACACCACTCCCAGAATACCATGTTTTTTCCCCCAGACAGAAAGTGTTCAAGAAAGAGAACCGACGGCATCACCTTGCCAGTACCAGACTGCTGGTTCTCTTTTAGCTTCATTCACTTATGCTGATAACAACTGATAACTGAACTTGTGTTTGTATTTTTTATGGAAGAAATATAATGTTTTTGTTTATATGTTTAATATCCAAGACATTTAATGTTTTTGTTTATGTGTATGTTTAATATTAAAAAAAATATTTTCTTACCTTCATAAAATCCTTGCGTAGAACTTCCCATATTGCATCACAAGTTTCAGGAATAATGTAACTCAGAGCTTGAGGTGATATAATAGTGGAAAACTTGAGGTCCTCATAGGTTCTTCCAGTAGCTAGAAACCTCAAAGTTGCCGTCAGCCTTTCCTGTGCTGGGATCGCTTCTCTCATTACAGTGTCTTTTCTTTTTATCAAAGGTGCTACCAATGCTAAAAGTTGCAGATACGTATCTTCATCCATACGTAGATAATTGTGCCAATCCTTGGGAGCTAACTTCAGGTCATTCAGCAAATTCACATGAGATAAAACGCTCCTTTTTTTCAACCAATTTTTACGCCATACCGCAGGCTTTTTTTTGGATTTCTTTTTACCCAAAGCAACTACTAAACCGAGAAGTGCTAATGCGGCGTCGTCAGTAGCGGCCACAATATGATGACTGAGACTGATATTTCATATTCGCCTGAACGTGTGGAGGGTGGTCAGTCCATCAGGCGACTGGTCTTCGTGTGTAGCCAGCTTTACGATTTAACTTCGATCAGTCTTTCAGTGTAGTCGGCAGGCAACTTCGACGGGACGGAACACGAACAATCTCCCTTGTTAAGTCTACTCGTGGCGTGTATGTAATATAAGCCGGGTGCGGTGACATTTTTCGTTTGTTCTTAAGTATGTCCCTTTCAAAGCGTAAACGGGTGGTGCTGTCAATTAAGGACAAAGTGGATATTTTGGAGCGTATGAAAAAAGGCGAATCGGCCCAATCTCTGTCGGTGGTTTATGGTGTGGGAAAGTCAACGATATCGGACATTAAAAAACAGTCCAGCGCGATTTTGACGTTCGCGAGCAAACTTGACTGTGATGCAGGATGTTCGAAGCGCAAGACCATGAAAAGATCCGCCAACGAATGTTTGGATGAGGCTCTTTTCACATGGTTTTCCCAAAAACGTTCATCTGGGCAACCTATCAACGGCCCCTTGGTGTGTGAGAAAGCTTTAGACTTCAATAAAAAATTAGGGGGTGATCCTAAATTCTCTGCAAGTCAAGGATGGCTAGATAAATTTAAATCTCGACACGGCATTCGCCAGCTTGATATTCAAGGTGAAAAACTCAGTGCTGACTCTTCATCTGCCTCTGGATTTGTGACAAGATTTTCAGAAATTTTAAGAGAGGATGGTTATGATTTGGAGCTTGTTTATAATGCAGATGAAAGTGGTTTATGTTGGAAAAGCTTACCCTCTAAAACTCTGGCATCCAAGAGGGAAGTGTCAGCCCCTGGATATAAATCAAGCAAAGATCGGGTCACCGTAATGGTTTGTGCAAATGCTACTGGTAGCCATAGAATTCCCATGCTTCTTATAGGAAAATCCAAAAATCCAAGAGCCTTCAAAAACGCGAAGACACCTCTCGTTTACAAAAACCAATCCAGGGCATGGATGGACCGGAAAATATTTGTAGACTGGTATGACAACACCTCCATACCCGAAGTTAAAAAGTTTCTTGAGCAAGTGGGTAAGCAATCAAAGCCTGTTTTATTGGTTTTGGACAATGCGCCTTCGCATCCAGATGCTGAGAGTTTGACAAGAGACGGTTTCAAAGTCATCTATCTACCTCCTAATGTGACATTAATCCTTCAGCCAATGGATCAAAGTGTCATTGAGACTATGAAAAGGAATTACCGGAAGCAACTTTTACGCCGACCTTTGCTCAAAGACAATGACGATGAAAAAGAAAAGGCTGACAGTGTTATCGCGTTCTTCAAGTCAATTAATCTGAAGGATGGTTGCTACATGGTTGTTGAGGCCTGGAATTTAGTTTCTCCAAGCACACTGAAAAAGGCATGGAATAAGTTGTTGAAAAAATACTACGATGATCTCAATGAGCCTACTGTTGATCTACTGCCCCTTAACTAAAGGCATGAAGAAACTGAACTTGTGACTGAAATGCTTGACACACTTGAATCCCTCAAAGTAAGAGAAGACTGTGACGAAGAAGGCGTGCTGAAGTGGTTAAATTCTGACGCCGATGACCAAGGATTCCCCATTGTGACTGATGAAGAAATTATTGAGAGTGTTCTGTCAGACCCCATTGTGGATGACGAGGAAGAAAGCGTCGATGACTGTGCTTTGGAACCTCCAACGGGACCCTCTCACGACGAAGCACTAAAAGCCGTTGATGTTGTCTTTCAGTGGCTTGAAAGACAAGAGGAAGTAGAAGTGGTCCAGCTACTTCAACTTCAAAAGATAAAGGAGTTGGCTTTGACAAAAAAAATAAACAAGATGAAGCAGATGAAGATTGGTGATTTTTTCAAACGTACCTAAGCAAGAGTTTGTAATGGTTCATAATGTGTTCGTACGTACAACATACATAATAATAATAATAAATATATGTACATATTGAGTAGTTAATTGTTTTATTTCCTATGTACACATATGTAGTACATATATGTACATATTTTTAATCTAACCTCTTTTATCCGAACTTTTCGATTATCCGAACCACCTTTGGTCCCAATTAGTTCGGATAATCAAGGTTCTACTGTAACATTGGGAGAAAAATGCATTCCCTAAAGGTGGTGGGCACCATATGCGTCAATTGTTTTATTAATGCATGGTGTTATAAATTGAAAAAATGAAATCTAGCCATGTCATATTAACCATATAGTGATCATGCCAATAAACATTTTTTGTATGAAAGTGAAAATTGTGATATCAAATGATAAAATGAAATGATCAAATGTGTGAATTTTGCAAATAAATTTCAGTTTAATAAAAATTACTGACATACCATCAATGTCTGTCAACATAGGTAGGCCAACACTCAGTTAAGTGCGTTCCCATAGTGTAAAGCTTGATTATATTCTCTAGATGTTATTCATTAATACTATTTATCCTTACAATGATTTTTAAAAACTAACTCCAACTAAAAAAATCAATATATATATACAGGGTTACTTTGAAGTTGAGTCATTAATTTTCAGATAATGATTGTAGAAGGAAGATAAACCAAAATATGTGTGTAAAAATAAAAAAAAATTTACCGTGTTTTGTAAAGTATCCTCCCGACAAGTATTTCAGTGCGGACCTGTATTTGATCGTGAGGTCTTGGAGCACCGGCATGCTCTCCCCTGTGAGGTCTTAAGTCACCTGGTGCACGAGCCCGTTGTAGTACATTAACAAAGGCACGAGGGGTTGGTTGCACTCGATTGGGAAACCGATCCGCATAAACATGTGCCATTTTTTATTTCGTTTGAGCCACGCAGCAAACACCACAATTCACTCACGCGTTAGCGACTGACACAGACTGAATAAAAACATCGTGATCAGCGTTTCAAATTCTTTCGCTTTTTTGTTTCCGATGCGATGAACCGATAAGGCGGATTATATCCGTTGTTGCCAAACACGAGCACATGATATTATTATTGAGACAGGGCGGTACTCAAACTTCTAAAGGGCTATAACTTTGTTACTTTAATTTTACCACAAAAATGTTAAAGGAAAAAAACATTTCTTTTGATCAGATCTACTCACTGTTAAAATAAATGACTCAACTTCGAAGTCACCCTGTATATATATACAGGGTGGCCAAACACGTGACGTCATAAAAAAAAATTAGATTCCCCACATCGAGAGGAACTCAAATCACCCCCATATATATGGTCCGATTTTGTTTAGTTTAGGAGTTATGATTTTTTTTCGGATTTTTCGAGAATTTTTGAGTTCTGTGTTTATTTTTACCATAACTTCGTTAATAATTGTGATAAATGCCTGCTTTTTTCACGATTATGTAGCTAAGACCTAAGGCTTAACTATCATATAATCACTCAAGTCATGTAACTAATACTACTTTTTAATTTTTTTCAAAATCTCCGAACATAACAAAAAAGTGCAACAACTTTGAACGTTTATAAAAAATTGAAAAAACATGTTCTTACTATTCGTAAGTATCTTAAAAACTTCCTTACGGTATCAGCTATTTACCGTAAAAATTTCATCAACCTAGCTTTACTACATGCTACCGTAATTGTGGCTCAAATAGAACCGAACCCAAAATTGGATAACCCTCTGCTCAATAGAAATTGTTAGTTTCGGAAAAAAAATTTGCAAAAACCACAAAAACACATTTGATATTTACTGAACAGCGGATTATTATTCATTTATGTTATTTTCAAGAGATTTTCAAAATGTCTGCCTCTAACAGAAATGCACAGTGTACACCTACGTATGAAATTTTGTTTTAAATCTCTAAATGCTTGTGTTGTTTTTCAACACATGTGTCGCTTCTTGAATTTTGTTCCTCAATGAATTTTCATTTGCACATTCTTGGGCGAATGTTATGTCTTTAAAATATCCCCAAACAAAAAAATCAATGGGGTTGAGGTCAGGGGAGCGTGGAGGCCATCGTATCGGTCCGTTTCGTCCGATCCATCTGTCTGGGAACCTTTCGTTTAAGTAGTTTCGCACGATCGTTGCATTGTGGCATGGTGCACCATCATTCTGGAACACCATGTTCCGTCTGGCTTCCAGGCTTGAATCTTCCAGCAATAATGGTAGGCTATTTTCAAGGAAGCTTTTGTAGGCTACCGAATCCAACCTTGACGGCAGTTCAAATGGACCGATAAATTCCATATTGAATATTCCTGACCACACCTTCACACTAAAACGGTGTTGAAATGTCGACGGCCTTGACTGGTGGGGGTTTTCAACAGCCCAAGTATGTAAATTATGGATATTGAATATCCCTGTTCTTTCAAAACGTGACTCGTCAGTCCATAAAATTTTATCAAAAAAATCGGGATCCTCTCGTTGTCTTCGCAGCATTGTCTCGCAGAAATCCACTCTTAACTGGTAATCTGAAGGCATCAACGCTTAAACTCTTTGAACATGATAGGCATGATAACCTTATTCATGAAGAATATTTTGTATCGATGTTCGTGGTATTCTATGGTTTTGTGCCATAGATCTCGTACTCGTTGAGGGATTCCGGCTAATTTCTTCAAGTACTACTTCTCTGCGATCCGGATCAGCTGTAGGATATCCTTCATTGCTTCCTCGTCCTGGAATGCGGCCTGCCATGAAAGTGTTATGTGTGTTAATAAAAACACGGTGGTCTGGGTAATGCTCAGGTTGTGGTCCGCCTCGGCGTATAAGTTGTTCCCGGTACAGGTGAGCTGCTAAAGCGCCGTTGCCTTGAGCAACGCCATAATAATAATGCGTTTCTGCATATTCACGCAACGTATAATGCATCACAAACTTCTTAGCAAACAAAGTCCAAATCAGTATGCAAAGCAGAGTCCCGGAATATCCAATTTTTTAGAGCACGAGGTTTCGGCTGATATGGCCTCTTATTTCGTCTGCAGGTGACTTAGCCTTTCGGGGTTATTTATACCAGAACGGCTGACGTGTCCTGTGCCGTAGATGACGTGGCTGGTCGGTGGTGATGACGTGTCCTCTGTTGGTTGCGAGACAATGCTGCGAAGACAACGAGAGGATCCCGATTTTTTTGATAAAATTTTATGGACTGACGAGTCACGTTTTGAAAGAACAGGGATATTCAATATCCATAATTTACATACTTGGGCTGTTGAAAACCCCCACCAGTCAAGGCCGTCGACATTTCAACACCGTTTTAGTGTGAACATGTGGTCAGGAATATTCAATATGGAATTTATCGGTCCATTTGAACTGCCGTCAAGGTTGGATTCGGTAGCCTACAAAAGCTTCCTTGAAAATAGCCTACCATTATTGCTGGAAGATTCAAGCCTGGAAGCCAGACGGAACATGGTGTTCCAGAATGATGGTGCACCATGCCACAACGCAACGATCGTTCGAAACTACTTAAACGAAAGGTTCCCAGACAGATGGATCGGACGAAACGGACCGATACGATGGCCTCCACGCTCCCCTGACCTCAACCCCATTGATTTTTTTGTTTGGGGATATTTTAAAGACATAACATTCGCCCAAGAATGTGCAAATGAAAATTCATTGAGGAACAAAATTCAAGAAGCGACACATGTGTTGAAAAACAACACACAAGCATTTAGAGATTTAAAACAAAATTTCATACGTAGGTGTACACTGTGCATTTCTGTTAGAGGCAGACATTTTGAAAACCTCTTGTAAATAACACAAATGAATAATAATCTGCTGTTCAGTAAAAATCAAACGTGTTTTTGTGGTTTTTGCAATTTTTTTTTCCGAAACTAACAATTTCTATTGAGCAGAGGGTTATCCAATTTTGGGTTCGGTTCTATTTGAGCCACAATAACGGTAGCATGTAGTAAAGCTAGGTTGATGAAATTTTTACGGTAAATAGCTGATAGCGTAAGGAAGTTTTTAAGATACTTACGAATAGTAAGAACATGTTTTTTCAATTTTTTATAAACGTTCAAAGTTGTTGCACTTTTTTACTTTTTTGTTATGTTCGAAGATTTTGAAAAAAATTAAAAAGTAGTATTAGTTACATGACTTGAGTGATTATATGATAGTTAAGCCTTAGGTCTTAGCTACATAATCGTGAAAAAAGCAGGCATTTATCACAATTATTAACGAAGTTATGGTAAAAATAAACACAGAACTCCAAAATTCTCGAAAAATCCGAAAAAAAAATCATAACTCCTAAACTAAACAAAATCGGACCATATATATGGGGGTGATTTGGGTTCCTCTCGATGTGGGGAATCTAATTTTTTTTTATGACGTCACGTGTTTGGCCACCCTGTATATGTTACCGGACAAACCCGATTTTAGGATAAACTAGTTTTTCCTAGGTCAAACCAGTTTATCCGAAGAGCGATAGGATAAACTAGTTTATCCTAGCCTAAACTGGTTTTTCCTGAAATAAGTTAATCATGATTCGGAAAAACTGAACTCGTCTGAACCTTGGTTTGGCTCGCCGGCGCCGATCGCAAGGATTTAGTTTGCACGCGTACGTTGACTGTTATGGAGCGTTCGTCTTATTGCAAAATCGTTGCGTATTGTGCGTGTTGTCCATAAGCTAAACATTCTGAAACATTTCGTGATTGTTTATGTATCTAAAGTTCGCAGATTATTTCTGTATCTCATTAACATGGATGAGGCTTCATCAAGTGGGCACGTAGGTCAAAAAAGTGGAGGCAGAAATTCTTGGTAGAGGTTTTAAGATCTGAGGACGAAAAATCAACTCATTTTAATGTTTTGACAAAGGAAAAATATTTGGCACTTATCCAACAAGTGGAAGAGGCTAAAAAACGGAAAATAAATCACCCTTGCAACAAAGAAGACTGAAAAGATTTGATGTGGTGGAAATCGGAGGTGTAAAGAAACTTACCGCACGAAATGAAAGAAATACAAATAATATAAAGTATTATCTCACCGCTGATGAGTTACATGACGTTATTGATGCAGCTCACATAGCAGTGGGACATGGTGGTCGTTACAGAATGTTGGCTGAAACTTCTAAAAAGTTTGCGAATATCACAAAAGAAATGATATGTCTTTTTTTATCTATGTGCATGGTCTGTCAACAAAAAAAGACGAAAAAAAAGAAAGGATTAGTCTCCAAACCGATTTTGCACACCGAAATGAAAAGCCGATGCCAAGTCGATCTTATTGACTTCCAGACACAACCAGATGGAAAGTTTAAATTTATATTGGTGTATCAGGACCACCTAACAAAATTTGTCCTGCTTCGTCCATTGGAAAGTAAGAGAGCAGAAGAGGTAGCCTACCATTTAAATGATATATTTTTAACTTTCGGGGCCCCATGCATTCTACAATCTGACAATGGCCGAGAATTTGTGAATCGTGTAATTTTAGAAGTGACAAGCTTATGGCCAGAGCTCAAAATCGTGCATGGAAAACGACGACATAGTCAAAGTCAGGGATCAGTCGAAAAAGCAAACCAAGATATTGAAAACATGCTGAGTGCTTGCATGAATGACAGTGAGACAAGTAAATGGTCAGAAGGACTAAGGTACATACAGTTTATGAAAATTCGGGCATTTCATTCTAGAATTAAACAATCGCCTTATAAGGCCATGTTTGGTGCGGAACTCAAGGTTGGCCTCTCTACTAGTTCATTACCTTCGGACATGGAAGACGAAGACGATCTTCAAAAACTGATTGATGGGAAAAACATAGATGGACATGAAAATGAAGGCAGTTATGGATACGAAGATACGGATGGAGACGAAGACAAGAATGGAGACGAAGATAGGAATGGAGACGATGACATGGATGAAACCTCACAAAATATTTTAGAAGCACGATCAAAGGCTGCGCAGAGCCTTGAAAAACAAGCCAAAAAGATGAAAGCAACCTCTCACAAGGTGCATCCACCAGCGAAAGTTGGAGATACCATCATCATACCTACTCCTGATGTAGACAGGGCTAAAGGAGATCTTCGGAACGTTATTGGAGTTGTGCTTGAAGCATCTGATGATGGATTTTATAAGATTGGGACCAAGCATGGTATCTTACAAAAATTATATTGCAGGTAATTATTCATTTTGCTACGGTTTTGATTTGATTTTAATTGAATATTTTCATTTCAGAAATGAATTTGATATCTGCACACGAAAGTTTTTATTGGAAGAAGAAGTAAACAAGAACAATGAAATTTCGTTAAGAACCGCAGCGATAAAACATTCAGTTGGAACAGGCCAAGGTTTCTTTAAGTGTAGTTGCACCAAGAAGTGTATGTCGAATCGATGTCTTTGCAAGAAAAATAACGTTCTCTGCAACTCGAAATGCCATAATAGTTTGACATGTAATAACAAGTAAATAATAAAAATTACTAAACATGTTTGTAATATGTAATGGTGTTTTCTTTAATTACTAGTAAAAACGTTAATTTTGTCAAAAGGCTGTATGTAGACTAGGACAAATCAGTTTTTCCTAATCATAATTAACCGTTTCAGGAAAAACCAGTTTAGGCTAGGATAAACTAGTTCATCCTATCGCTCTTCGGATAAACTGGTTTGGCCTAGGAAAAACTAGTTTATCCTAAAATCGGGTTTGTCCGGTAAAATATATATATATATATATATATTATGTCAGATTGACATAGATTGCCAAAAATTAAAAAAAATGCTGCAGGTTTGTGTTTGGCCTTTGTCAATTTATTCATATCTTGTCAAAGGGTAAAGAATTGTACTGATTCAGAGGGGATTCACAGTCAATCTTGCTTGAAGGTGTTCATCCATAAATTTGTGAATACACAACAACCACATACCACTGGGAGAAATTTGTACCAAGAGGTGATATAGATCAGAGAGGGCTCAGAAATAACAATTTCAAGAAGACAATTTGATATACTGTCCTATTTCGAAACAGTATTGTATAAGTATATTCCACATGGCTAGATTATACAACTCAACAAATATGAATGTCAGTAGATGTCTTATGGGGATTCGGTCTCAAAACTTCCAAAATCCGCCACCAGAGGCGCTGGCGTCGCGCGCCATTGACAGGTTGTTGGACGGAATCTGTAATCATGAGTTGGGGATTCCGCCGCTAGATGGCGCTGTCAAACCAAACGGAATCTGTGTGTCATTGGACACCTGTCATGCGTCATTGGGCATCTCACGCATAGATGGCGTTAAAACGTCATCTGTTATACGTCATTGGACACCTGTCATTGATGGGTTGGGCATCTCGCGCATAGATGGCGCCGATTTGTTTGGCGCTGTACAAACCAAACGGAATCTATGTGTCATTGGACAGCTGCCATTGATGGGTTGGGCATCTCGCGCATAGATGGCGCCGATGTCGCACCTGTCTGGTGTTGGCGTGGATTACGGGGGGCATTCAGAACGTGTATACAGGGGTGCATCGAAAAATAGCGGATCGATGGACCGACGGTATATCGTTAAATCGTATATAGCAAGGCGTGACCTAAATAGCGTGGTGGGCTCCTCTGGTCGGTCGGTCGGTCGGTCAGAATGTCTCATAACCTGTATACGATGTACTGTTATTATTATACAGGATGATACCGTTCAAAATGAAAATAGTATAATGGATATTTTATTGAAACATATAGTATATATATAACAATAAGGTTGATTGGTGTGTGTGTGTGTGTGTGTATGAAATTTTAAGTTGCCTACAGTGTCGTCTGAATCAATATCGCTGTGTTCTGGTCGTGCAGGTAGATTGAATGATTGTTTTAAGTGATTCTTGTAATTATCAGGGAGTACTTTAGATGTTGATACTAATCGACTCAAATCATTCTTCGACAACTGATTTGGTTCATGACAGACAAGAATCAAATTATGTATTTTACGGTTCAGTTCTGGTTGTTTTTTAATTTTTCCCTAAAAGCCTCGTAATGAGCCTCCTCGCTGGTTATTTTTGGTTTTACCATTTTTTACCTCTTTTTGAACAAAACAATTGCTTGCGACTGGTTTGAATGATTGATACTGTAGCACTGCTAGTGCTGATACACAGACTTTATGTAGTAGAATGATGGTGGGGGGGTGGGGAGTCGAAGGAACCGACTGTTTTTTTTTTTGTTTGACAACAGGCTGAATACGAAATAAACATAGCTTTCTGAAAAATGTATTTTTTAATGATATACAGATACAAGTTTAGATAACAGAGTTTTTAGTTGATGTAACAAATCCTCGCTGGGGCATGGTACTCCAAATAGAGTCCAATGAAATGGTCCGGTCGCAACAACTTTTCTTGTAAATTCATTAAATTTATAGTAAGTTGCGTGACGGAAAAAGTAAATATGGCCATCAATCCATCGAAATGCGAGAGAAATATCTTCAGGTAATTCAGGAAATATGTCTCTTATCCGTCCTCTGTTCAACACATCAGTAAAATCGTTAGAAAATTCTATATATGACATATTATTATAAAAGGTATAGGACCGTCCTGCGTTTGATTGAAAAATAGCATTGATTCGAGCCCTATCGGGTATATCAATTGAAAAATTATCAAGAAATTTAATGGTAGGGAATGATGCTGAGAAATATTTGTTTGGAGACACAATGGTAATCAAGTCACCGTTTGTTGATTGGAAAATATGTTGTAAAGTGTATTGACGTAATTCTGTAGGAACATAATCGACAAGAAGTTCAGGCTGAGATGGGATAATCATTTCGTTTAAGTCTAGTTTCCATATAAACTTATCATGTGCAATATATAATCGGTAATTTGAAAACTCTGGAGCAATAGCTAAAAACATAAAATCTGGAATAATATCACACAAATTTTTGAGGATCGGCTGCTTACGAGTTGTAGATCTTATAGTTGTTGTTGTTGTTTTTGGTATTGCTGATGCGGTGGTAGACTTTGGGATTGAATCATATTTGTTTTTTCTTCCATATAGATATTGTACTGCATTTATATCATCAACATCTAGACCACGAATCTCATGCTGATAGAAGGCAAACATAATAGCATTCGGAGAAGCACTATGTGCTATGCCGAGAGCATGTCCAATTTCATGAACCAACACCATAAGAAAACTAGTTTGATTTTTGGGTATATTAGGATTATTTCCAAAATACCAGCGTTCATTTATATCTAAATGGATTTCTCTACAGGTGCCGCTAGAGTCAGGAAAGTATGCATGTCCTAAAACGCCGCCAGCATCATCTAATGTCAATGGACATTCATCATTACCCATACAGTTTGCGCTAAAATAATGAGTCTTGCTAACCATGGTTATAGTAATATCAGGAGGATATAGAGTGGGATTGGTAACCATTGTAAATGTTAAGTTTGAAACATTTTGCCACATCTGAAAAGCCATTTCTGCATCTTTTTGGGCCGCAGGTGTGTTTCGAGGGAAATACCATTTCAGGTCATGTTTCCGAAATGGAAAACTTGCTCTAAATTCAGCATCACTGTATTGACAACGCGGACGATTCATAAATTCAATTGTTGCATTATTCAACAATCCATCCACTGGTAAATTATACTTTTCTTGCAAGTTAGTTAGCAAAGTAGAGAGATCTGTTGTATTATCGATGATATGTTCATATTGAGTTAGGTATACTATAGCGTCTTTTTCGGAGAAATCGTTGCAAAGCACGTATGTGAAAGTTGAAATAAAAAATAATACGTCTACCCACATCAACATCTTGATAGAGAATGATGTCAAAAATCTCAGATAGCAAATATAAATTCGTTTACCCCCCCAATCAAAATCTTGACTGAAAAAAAATTATGCAGCAAATATACAATAATCATACACGAATTTCTATATTTCTAAAATTCTACTCTCATGTGCAACTTGTAATTGGAATTTCCGCCGGACAAACGATACATTCATGTATTACTAAGAAATTATATAAAAAATACTGCAACCGCAATGAATGTTGTTTTCTCGATAAAAATGGTACTGAGAATATGATGAATATAATATGCATATTTACGATACAATTATCTCATGTACGCGTGTGTCATCTCAACTACGTACTTATATTGAGGGAGCGCATGCAGTTTTCTCGATAAAAATGGTACTGAGAATATGATGCATATAATATGCATATTTACGATACAATTATCTCATGCACGCGTGTGTCATCTCTACTACGTACTTATATTGAGCGAGCGCATGCAATAGTCATCATTGTTTCACACTTAACGCACAACGCTGCAAGCTGCAACAACGACCGCAGTACAATTAGTGCTTCGAGAGAGACGAGAGAGCGAAAATTTTAAAAAAAGTAAGTGCTATTTTATTTAATATTTTTCTTTTTTATGTCTCTAAATGCAACTGTTTTTTTTTTTTCGTGTTATGCTTCAAAATAGTTAGACGACTCAATTTTTTTTATAGATGGATTTATCAAAAATTAATGCTGCGTCTTCGATTGTAGACCGCAAACCTATCAGAAAATTAAAGGACCTACCAGTCGGGACACCATTTGCAATCCAAGCAGCTAAAGTGGTCAAGTCGAAATTTGGGGAAGCCGTGCTACTAGATTTAGGACCGGAAGTGCTATTTCTACCACAGCGGGTGACGGAAACGTACCAGCCGGTCATCGACGAACTTTTTCACGGAAAATACTCGATCATCTTCCAAGGGGAAGTGGACGTAGGGAAAAGCCGACCGCTAGCATCATTCAAAATAGTGGAAAATTAACAAAGCAGAGAACAGGAGGAGGACAGGGTGAGCATTTTTATATATTTTTGAGTAATGTGTTTGCTTGAAAAAAAAAATGTCGTCTTTTCAAATGTCTTCAAATAAGGTTAAAAAGATCATCAAACAAACAGACGGTGTTCTACTATCAATTGTTAGTCTACGGAAAATTTTATTTGATAATTTTACAATCAGAGACGCGGAAGTGTGGCTGAAACGAATAGAAAAACAAATTAGATTATGTAAACGGGTAATTCGTAGTAGAAGGCAAAATAAATTATCTGTAGGGACCTGTAGAAAAGTAGAAACAAATTTGGGGCATTTTAAACATTTTAGAAAGTTGATTTTAACTAGACATATTGGGGCAGGACTTCACTTAACATTGGGTCAGAGGGTTAGATGGGAAAATGTAGAATCGAGCTTTCAAAGTAGAATAAAAACCGGTTCCATAGCTAATTTGCGTCATAAGGACTTGAATCAATTTTTAGCAGATTGTGTAGTTGTTTTTAAAAGGAAAATTAGGAATATTTTGAACACCCATTGTGCGCTCAAAGTAAATACAACATTTTGCGGGGAGTTTATTAGGAAATCGGGGGATAATGAAATTTTGGGAATTAAATATATTAATACTAAAAATCATATTATTGATACATCAACTCAAATAGACGAGTGGTTTAAGATATATGTTAAAGATAAACTTTTAAACGAATTATCGGAATTTGCTGAAAAAGATTCGGGATTTGCGTTAAATAAAATTATTTCCTTAGTTGTTAATATCAGTAAA